GCTGCTGCTGCTGCTGCTGCAGTCGCGGTGCTGCTTGGGGTGCTCTGAGGAAAGGCCGCGAGCCCAGGTGTACGCACACCTGAAGTTGCGGCCGGCCAGTCGCTGAAACTGCAGTTGAATTTATTTACTTCATTTATTTTATTTATTTCATTTATTTTATTATTTATTTTATTCGTTTTACTTATTTCATTTGTTCTGTTTATTTCTTTCATTTCTTTTATTTCACTAAACCGGATTTGCTTCGCAGCAGCAGCACTTTGCCACTGCCACTCCTGCTCGCACCCGGGATGAGAGCTGTTTGCTGCTGCTGCTGCTGCTGTTGTTGCTGCTGCTGCTGCTGCTGATGCGGGTGGCTTTGGAGCGTCAAAAGCAAAGAAGTGAGAAGACTGAGATGTGCCGCAGCAAGGTGCAGTTTGGGCTGTCTGCGCATACACCGCAGCAGCAGCAGCAGCTGCTGCTGCTGCTGGTGTTTGTGGTGTATATACATCCCTATGGAAAGAGCCAGCAGAAAACCGCTGCTGCTGCTGCTGCTGCCACTGCTGCTGCTGCTGCTGCCACTGCTGTTGCTGCTGCTGCTGCTCCTGTTGCTGCTGCTGCCACTGCTGCTGCTGCTGCCACTGCTGCTGCTGCTGCTGTCGTTGCCGCTGCTCCCGTTGCTGCCGCTGCTCCCGTTGCTGCCGCTGCTCCCGTTGCTGCCGCTGCTCCCGTTGCTGCTGCTGCTCCCGTTGCTGCTGCTGCCGCTGCTGCTGCCGCTGCAAACTCGCGGAGCCGGGCGAAGGATAAGCAGCAAACAGAGGGTGTGCTGCTGACACCCTCACCGGCGGAAACAGACTGCCTTGGACCCCTTGCTGCTGCTGTTGTTGCTGCTGCTGCTGCTGCTTTTGCTGCTGCTGCTGCTGCTGCTGCTGCTGCTGATTTCCATGCGGGAAATGCAGGGCCGCGGGACTTGCATGCAGCGGCTTGCGTAGGCACGGGTCGCCGCGGGTCTCGCTGCTGCTGCTGCTGCTGCTGCTGCAGAAGGCTGCTGCGTGGGTCTGCTGAAGCGGCGGCGCTGCTGCTGCTGCCCGGAAGCCGTGCTGCAGCTCGCTTTGCTGCTTGGAGTTCGCAAAAGAGGAAAAAGAAAAAGATGAAGGCTCTCGAGCTTCTGGATCTTCAATGTCGACAAAAGCTGCTTCCTCCTCCGGCTCGGGTGTATGTACAGCGAGGGGCCCCGTGCTGCCGGACATTTTCGAGGAAAAAGAAATGCAAAAAGCCAACAACCAGCAGCAGCAGCAGCAGCAGCAGCAGCAGCTGCTGCTGCTGCTGCTGCTGCTGCAGGGAGCGGGGAAGGCTGCTGTGGAAAGTTGGGAGGGGAAAGGCTCGAGGGAGGAAGCAGCAGCAAGAGGCAGCAGCAGCAAACGGCAGCAGGCAGCAGCAGGATACAGTGCTGCCTGCTGCTGCTGAGAAGCAGCAAAAAGAAGCGGCCCCAGAAGCTGGCTAGACTGGAGGTAAAGGCAGCTGTTCCGAGAGGCTGCTGCTGCTGCTGCAGCTGCTGTTGCTGCTGCTGCTGCTGCAGCAACGAAGCAAAAGGAGCCTGAGTTCAAGTGCAGCAGGCTCTGCGCAGAATTTGCAAGATCTTTCGCCAAAGGCTCGCACCCTGCAGCCCAAGTCGAAGACAAAGTTCTTCATTGAAATAAAAGTGATGCTTCAAGTCCTGGGGGTAGGCGAAGTGGCGCCGTTTGCGGTGTACGTACACTTGGAATCAGGGGAACACGCCGCAGCCATCTCGCCCGAGTTGAAAACTGCGCGTTTGCGGAAACGGCGGGCTCTGGAGGGGAAAAGAAGACTCAATTAGAAAGGAATAATATAATTTGAACAGGAAAAGAAATACTAAATCAATTTGGGGAAAAATGCCCCGCAAACAGAAGAAAATCCCGGCCGGGGCCCCTCAGGCGCCTCTGCTGCTCCCCTGGGCAGCTAGCGGGGGTGGCGGCTGGGGAAACTTGCATTTCTCGCCTTTATTTGGAGAAATAAGTGAAATAAAATGAAATGAAATCGTTTTTGTGTCGAATTTGGCGAAAAAGGAGCTTCCAAGACAGCCAAAGGCGCGCAGCAGAAGCCCGCCGCGAGCAGGAGCCCAAGACCACCAGCCGCAGCAGCAGCATCGATTCGCCGCCGCAGCCCGCCGATCCTCGCTTTAAAAACAAACTTTACAATTAAAATGCAAAATTGGACATTTTAAATAGTTCAAAAATTTAAATATGGCGCAAAAATTTCCGTTTTCGCGAAAGCGAAGCTGGCGCTACCGCGGTGTACGTACAGCCCAGTGGAAAGCAGCAAAAGACTGCAGCAGATTCTGCACAAGTCCGCGCGATCTCTGCAACTGCATCATTTAAATTGAATTAAAATCAATATTTTTAATTTATAAATCCTTTACTGAGTCTATTAAACCATTTATTACTTCCATCGAGCTCCAACGCGCGCAACTGCCCTCCCGTACACAACTGTGGGCCAGCAGCAGCAGCGCAGCAGCCGCAGCTGCCTTCTGCACTTGGCGGAATTAATTCATTTAAATTAATTTCCAACTTTAAAAATATGCATTTAAATAAACTTGTGTGCAGAAAGCATTTATTTTCGCTTCCTGTTCACTTTTGATGGAATCGGGAAAGCATCGCGGTTTGCTACTGCTAGTTCGGGTGTCTAGACACCTCAGGCGAGCTCTCGAACACGCTTGAATCTGCATTTCCATTTAAAACGCACTTTCCACTTTTTAAATTGCTCCCAGAAGCACCATTTGCTCTCTTCTTGCAGCCCCATGCAGCAGGAAGAGCTGCAGCTTCGTGCTGTGTCTTTTGTTTGTTTCTTTAGCAGCAGTTTCCCTTTTGCTGCTTCAAATTAAATGCCAAAATAACTCTTTTGAGTCTGCACGGTGTCTGGCAGTTGGGGGGGCCTAGGCGCTGCGGTGTACGTACACCCCGCCGCCGTGCAGGTTGCTGCGGCGCTGCTTTCTGCTGCTGCTGCCGGCGTGCTGCAGCTTGCTGCTGCAGCAGCAACGTGGGCAAAAGAATTAAAAGAAGAAACGAAAAGATCTGAAGTCGCTTTCTGCTTCGCAGAGGCTCTTCGAGCTGCTGCTGCAGGCAGCAGCGCAGCAGCAGGCTGGCGGCGCGGTCTGTCTGGGGGGGTGTCTGCAGCGCGGCGACAAAAAGGGGAATCAAAGGGGAAAATGGCATTTATTTATTAAAATAAACTTATTTAAAAAGCGAATTTTAATTAAAAAGCGAAAAACGCGCAGACACTGGAGAAGATCGCCCGTCGATTGCAGCAGTGTCCGCCGCGAGCCGCCGCCAGCGCGATCCGAGCAATAAACGGTCTCCGGAGTGGAATTTTAGCGGATCTTTTGCATTTTAATGGTTAATTTTGCAAAAAGCACTCATTTAAATGTTTTAATTGTCTTAATTTCGGGTTTTTCGCGAAGTTCCCGCGCGCGACACCTGGGGTGTACAGCCACCTCATCGGGCCGTGCAGCCCGTCCGCCAGCGGCAGCCTTCCGTAGCTTTCCACAAGACCTTTTTGCGATTTTCTTTCTAGAAACTTAAAAACTTTCCATTTCTTCCCGGTTTTTCTCTTTTCTGTTTCATTTCTTCTTCAACTCTGGCAAAAGCCGGAGAGCGTCTCGCCCCGGTCGGGTCTGCGCGCGGGTTCCTCGCCTTGCTTTCCCCTTTGTGCAGATCTTTTTCCGCGTCGAAAGCGAATTAATTTCTAATTTCCGACTTTTATTTGTTCTTCTGCTGCCTCTGCTGCTCATTTGCTGCTGCCTGTGGAGCCCGGAAGGCGCGGATCTGCTGCTGCTGCTGCTTCTGCTGCTTCCGTCACCTGCAGCTCGTTTCGCAGCAGCATTTTCAGGTGTCTCGACAGACACCCGGCGGCACTGCAGCAGCAGCAGCTGGCGTGGCCCTTCTGCAGCAGTTGCGGTCTCTTGATATTCCATTCGAGTTTGATTTTACTCAAAATTTGAAAAAAAGAAATCCCAAAACTTGAAAAGACCCCCCAGCACCATGCGGCGGCTTTCCCCAGCTCTGGGCCTTCTTGCTGCGGCCCTCAGCTGCGCAGGGCCGGCAGCAGGGGTGCAGCACAAGCTGCAGCACAGGCAGCAGCAGCAGCAGCAGCACAGCCACGCCTCAACTTCGCATGCTGCTGCAGTTCTTGCTGCTTCTTCGGATGCATCCACAGACTCCAATCCCTTCATGCAGCCGCCCTATGCCGAGTTCATGGCCAGATTCAACATTCCCAAAGTCCACGGTGAGAGCCCCGTACCCAGCAGCAACAGCAGCAGCAGCAGCAGCAGCAGCAGCAGTGTGTCACCTCGCTCTCGTCCCACCATCAGTTCGTTGAGACCAGCAGAGCACCCTCAGCTCATTCCGAGTCGATCCACTTCCCTCTTCGAATCCGAAACTCGACCCCGAACCTGCTGCTGCTGCTGCTGCTGCTGCTGCTGCTGCTGCTGCTGCTGCTGATGCTGCTGCTGCTGCTGCTGCTGACTTGCTGCTGCTGCTGCTGCTGCTGCTGCTGCTGCTGCTGCTGCTGCTGCTGCTGCTGCTGCTGCTGCTGCTGCTGCTGCTGCTGCTGCTGCTGCTGCTGCTGCTGCTGCTGCTGCTGCTGCTGCTGCTGCTGCTGCTGCTGCTGCTGCTGCTGCTGCTGCTGCTGCTGCTGCTGCTGCTGCTGCCGCTGCTGCTGCTGCTGCTGCTGCTGCTGCTGCTGCTGCTGCAGGGAGCGGGGTGTACGTGGACCTGGGGAACGACAAAGAGGTGAAGGGAAAGATGTACAGAGAGCCTGGGGGCCGCTGTCCCGTCTTTGGCAAAAACATCGAGTTTTATCAGCCCCTGGATTCGGACTTGTACAAAAACGACTTTCTCGAAAATGTCCCGACGGAAGAAGCAGCAGCAGCAGCAAAGCCCCTCCCCGGAGGCTTCAACAACAACTTTTTGATGAAAGACAAAAAGCCCTTTTCGCCGATGTCTGTGGCGCAGCTCAACAGCTACCCGCAGTGTACGTACACCCCAACTGCATGCAACTCAAAAGTGGAAACCCGCATTTAATGCCCTCCACTTTTTGCTTCGCTTCCGACCCTCTTTGCATGCAACTTGCACGCACTCTTTGCATACAAGTTGCATGCGGAATTGCTCCGAATTCCGCCGTTCAGTTTCCAGCGTCCTGAACTCCCCTGCTGCTGCTGCTGCTGCTGCTGCTGCTAAATCTGGCACCCCTGCTCCTGCTGCTCGAACCCCTGCTGCTCCTGCTTGCCATTGCCGCTGCTTCTGCTGCTGCTTCCGCTTCTGCCGCCTCCGCTGCTGCTGCCTCGACGACCGCCCCACCCCCCCGCTGCTGCTGCTGCTGCTGCTGCTGCTGCTGCTGCTGCTGCAGTGAAGGCGCGGACGGGCCTGGGGAAGTGCGCGGAGATGAGCTACCTGACGACGGCGGCGGGCAGCAGCTACAGATACCCCTTCGTGTTCGACAGCAAAAAGGACTTGTGCTATTTGCTGCTGGTCCCGCTGCAGCGGCTCATGGGGGAAAGATACTGTTCAACTCGGGGAAGTCCTCCGGGCCTTTCCCACTTCTGCTTCAAACCCTTAAAGAGTGTTTCCCTCCGCCCGCACCTGGTCTACGGCTCCGCCTACGTGGGCGAGCGCCCCGACGACTGGGAGACCAAGTGCCGTGAGCAGCAGCAGCAGCAGCAGCAGCAGCAGCAGCAGCAGCAGCAGCAGCGGCGGCGGCGGCGGCGGCGGCGGCAGCGCCGGAGGCCGCGTAGTTGCTGCGGGAGAGGCGCAGTCACGCTGCTGTTCCCTCTTGTCGTGGTTCTGTCTTGCTTCTCATTTCAACCCCTGCTGCTGCTGCTGCTGCTGCTGCTGCTGCTGCGCTGCAGCGAACAAGGCGGTGAAGGACGCGGTGTTCGGGGTGTGGGAGGGGGGCCGCTGCGAGGAGCAGCGGCTGCGGCTGGGCGCGCAGACTGCAGCAGCAGCAGCAAAAGAAGACTGCTGGGCTTTGGCTTTTAATAATCCTTTTGCTGCTTCCGACCAGCCCACATCTCAAGACGAAGCAGCAACAAGTCCCGGCTACTACTTCCCTTCCATCACCCCCAGCCAGCCCAAATCCGGTGAAACCCTAAACCCTAAACCCTAAACCCTAAACCCTAAACCCTAAACCCTAAACCCTAAACCCTAAACCCTAAACCGCGGGCGGTAGACGCTGGCGGGTGTTGGGGGCTGCGGAGCAGCGCACTTCGGGGAAAGCAGCAGCAGCAAGGTGTTCAATCCGGCCCGCCTTAAGCAGGTCTTCCGGTCAACCCTAAACCCTAAACCCCAAACCCTAAACCCTAGCCGCTAAACCCCAAACCCTAGCCCCTAGAGAATGCAGGTTTTGCTCGCAACTGCCGAAGCAAGAAGTGCAAGCGGGCCGTCTACTGTTGCCCGGCATCTCGGGCCAGCGCCGCAGCCTGGGCCTGGGACGGAGCGCTTAGGGTTTAGGGTTTAGGGTTTAGGGTTTAGGGTTTAGGGTTTAGGGTTTAGGGTTTAGGGTTTAGGGTTTCGCCGCAGGGGGCGTGGGGGTGAACTTCGCGAGCTACTACCCCTCGGGCGAGTGCGTCCTGTCGGGCGAAGTGCCCACTTGTTTGCTGCCAAGGCAAGGAGCAGCAGCATTTACTTCTGTGGGGTCTTTGGAAGAAGAAGAACTTCCCCACTGCGACCCCACATTTCCCGCCTCCCTGGGATCGTGCGATCCCAGCTCCTGCAAGGCGATCCTCACGGAGTGCAGGGGCGGCCGCCTCGTCGAGCAGCAGACGGACTGCGTCCCCGAAGACGGCAGCAAGTGTCAGCTGCTGCTGCTGCTGCTGCTGCTGCTGCTGCGGCTGCGGCTGCTGCTGGGGCCTTTTCGTCTTTGCTGCTGCTGTTTTCGCGGCTTTGCTGCGCGTCGGCGCTCCACCACCTCGTACACATCCGCTGCTCCTGCTCCTGCTCCTGCTGCTGCTCCTGCTGCTGCTGCTGCTGCTGCTGCTGCTGTGTTGCAGGCGAGTCTAAAGGGGGCGGTGTCTTCATTGGGCTGGCCGTCGCGGGGGGTCTGCTGCTGCTGCTGCTGACGGGAGGGGCTTTCTTCATTTACAAGTCCGTTTGCTGCTGCAGCATTTTTAAGACATCATTTTAAATCAGTTTAATTCATTTTAAATTCATTTTAATTCATTTTAACCCCCCTCAACTCGTTTTAACTGAATAAATGCCATACCTTCACCTATTTGAACAATCCAAATTGCCAGCTGACCTGCTGCTGCTGCTGCTGCTGCTGCTGCTGCTGACAGGCAGCGGCAAAAAGCTCTTCCGAAAGAATCTTCTCCGCAGCGAACAGATTTTGTTCAAGACGAAGCAGCAACAGGCCGCGGCAAAAAGAGACAGTCCGATTTGGTGCAACAGGCCGAGCCGTCCTTTTGGGGTGAGCCAGCAGCAGCAGCAGCAGCAACAGCAGCAGCAGCAACAGCAGCAGCAGCAGAGCAGAGTCGTCTGGGTCCGCTGGAGCTGAAGCAGCTGCAGCAGCAGCTGCAGCGGCAGCAGCGGTAGCAGTGCAGCAGCAGCAGCAGCAGTAATGGTATTTTGGTTGAATTTAATTAGATGAAATAGGATAAAATGGACTTCTAACTGCATGAATTAATTGAAATGAATTTGCGGACTTTTGCGGTTTTGCTGCTGCAGAAGAAGCAGAAGCTGATGAGCCTCACGCCGATGAAAACACCCAAGTGCTGCTGGACCAGGAATACTAGTAGCAGCAGCAGCAACAACAACAGCAGCAGCAGCAGCTACTGCTGCTGCTGCTGCAGCTGCAGGTGCAGCTGCAGCGGCAAAAGAGCAGCAAAGAGCAGCAGCAGCAGCAAAGAGCAGCAGCAGCAGCAAAAAGCAGCAGCAGCAGCAAAAGGGAAATTGAATTTAACTGAATTCAATTCGAATTAGTTTCATTCAAAAGTTCTTTTCTTCAAATTAACTCTCCATTTTCCTTTTTTATTCAAAAGGCGAAGTTTTCGCCTTTTCACTTCGCCCACATTTGCAAACAAATATAAATAAATAAAATAAAAATAAATAGATGAATATAAATATATTTATTTATATTTATTTTTATTTATTTATTTTTACTTATTTATTTGTATATATATTTATATGCGTTTATGGCTTATATTTGTATATAAATATGTACAACGAAGACATATTTATATACACATATATGCATATACGTATATATGCCTTTATAACATATATATATATAAAGTATATATATATATATGCTATATATATATATATATAATATATATAATATATTGTACATATATATAATATACAATTGTATATATCTTATAAACATATTATATATAATATATATATCATATATTATTATATATATATTTTATATATATTTATTTATATGTAAGTATATATAGGCAATGCTGAAGGTGTGGGCGCGAAGACATGAACTGGGGACTTGTTGAAAATAGAATCTTATTTTACATTCATTTCTAGACTTTTCAAAGCACTAGTAGTTCCATCTCACTACTTGCTGCTGCAGCAGCAGCAGCAGCTGCTGCTGCTTCTGCTGCAGCAGTTGCTGCTGCTGCTGCTGCTGCACTGCAGCAGCAGCAGCGGCTGCGTAGGGCGTCTGCTGCGCAGCGAAGCTGGGCTTTCTTGCATGGCAACGCCAAATAAAAATAAATAAAATAAAATACATAAATAAATAAATACAAGAATTAAAAAGAAATAATGAAATAGATTAGTGCTCTTGTGCGCCAATCAAAAGCCTCGAGGGAAATTCCAGGAGAGACAAAAGTGCAGTTTTTGTCTAGACTGCTAGCTGCTGGCGGTGTGCAGCAGCAGCAGCAGCAGCAGCAGCAGCGGCTGCTGCTGCTGCTGCGCTGCTGCAAGAGCTGCTGCTCCTGCTGCTGTGCCGGCGGCATGGTTACTGCTGTGCTAGCGGCAGCAGCAACGACTGGAGCAGCTGCTGCTGCAGCAACGCTGCAGCAGCTGCAACAGCAGCTGCTGCTGTTGTTGCAGCTGCTGCAGGAGAAGCAGCAGCAGCTGCTGTTGTTGGGACTGATTTTGAAATACCATTTTCTTAGTGTAGATGAATTTTATCTTGCCAGCAGCAGCAACAGGAGCAGCAGCAGCAGCAGCAGCAGCAGCGCCGCCTCGTCTGTTCCCCCAGTGGAGCTCCTCTTTGCTGCTGGCGGGCAACGACAGCTAGCTAGCTAGCTAGCCAGCTAGCTAGCCAGTTAGCTAGCTAGCTAGCTGGCTAGCCATATAGCTAGCTAGCTAGCTAGCTAGCTGTCAGCTAGTGAGGGGCTGCTGCAGCAAAGCCCACAGTGGGGGGAGAAGGAAAGCCTGTGGGGGGTATGGACAGCTGAGGTGACGAAGTGGAAGTTGAAGAGTTTTAAATAAATAAAATAATAAAATAATAAAAAAAATAAATAAAATAATAAAATAGTAAAGTAAATAAAAACGAAATAGAAGGGAGAACAGATGAAAGGCAGTGCACAAGCCGACTCGACGAGCGGCGCCTCGCCGCAGGGGGGGGGGCCTCCCAAATCGGCTTAAAAATGGCTAAATGGATAAAATTTGAGATAATTATTAAATAAAAGATAATTAATAAAACTTTCCCGCCAAATTGGCGAATAAAAAGGCGCAAAAAAGCGCTTTTTAGCCCCTCGTTTGCTGCGGGGCCCTCGCTGAGGCCCCGGGCGTATCCGGCGTATCTGTTGTCTGCGGGTGTATGTACACCCCGAGGCGAGGGGCCAGAAAAGCGCCTTTAGCGCCCGCTAAGGGCTCAAATTAACTGGAATTGTAATTTATTAAGGAAGTTGGGATGAAATAAAGGAAACAACGGGGAAAAAGGACCCAAGACACGCGTTTAAATGGCCGCGAGAGCAGCGCAGCTGCCGGGGGCCTCCCGCTGGCTTTCCGGCGTTTGTGCGTCTTTTTCGGCGAAATAAAGACTGCCCAGCTGCTCCGTTTCTCATTAGTTTCTTTTTAAACCCATTTTGAGCCTCAGCGGCCGCCTAGAACTTCATTTGCGCTAACCGGAAAGCTCCTCGAAGCTGCTGCTGCTCGCCATCCCCGACTGCGCCTGCGAGCCTCGGCCTGCGTGGCGCTGCGGTGTCTGTACACCTCAACCCCGCGCCTTTTCCTCCACTTTCTTTTATTTATTTTCATTTCATTTATTTCAAACTTCCCAAAACTCAGACTGCTGCCAAGATGCCCCCCGGCGCAGCGGCCAAGCCGCGGCGCCCCGGTGCCCACCGACGCCCCAAGGCAGCAGCAGCAGCAGCAGCAGCAGCAGCGGGGGCCCCCGGGGGGCCCCCCCTGCTTCTCGAAGGAGAGCGAGACGTGAGCCCTTTGACGGCAGAAGGTGTGGGGCAGCAGCAGCAGCAGCAGCAGCTGTTCGCTGCACATGCAGGCAGCGAGGTTGAAGCAGCAGCAGATGCAGCACAGCAGCATTCAGGTGTACATACACCTGAGTTCGCAGACACGCCCAGACGGAGCCTGTCGACAGACGACAGCAGCACGAACCAAAACGTAGTTGCTGCTGCTGCTGCAGCAGCAGCAGCAGCAGAGATTCCCGCAAGCGACGAAGCAGCAAAAGCAGCAGCAGCAGAGGAAGACTCTGTGTGCGTTAGTTTGATATCAGCAGGTGTACATACACCGCAGCTGCCTGCTGCTGATGACAGCAGCAGCTGCCACGAGACTGTTATACCGGTGACTCCCCACCTTAGCAGCAGCAGCTGCAGCAGCAGCAGCTGCAGCAGCAGCAACAGCAGCAGCAGCAGCAGCTGCGGCAGCAGGAAGAATAGACCTACCAGTGACAGCGTCGCAATAGCCGCCCCAACGGCCGCCAACACCCCCAGCAGCAGCAGCAGCAGCAGCAGCAGCAGCAGCAGCAAGGGTTCTGACTTGGACTCTGCGTCTTATGTGTTGTTTCTAATTGTGTCTGTGCTGCTGACGTGGGGCCAGGAGCCGCTGCTGTCGCTGCTTGCTGCAGCAGCAGCAGCAAGAGCTGGCCCTCTTGCTGTTGTTGCAGTGGGAGCAGCAGGACAAATGGCTGATGGTTTGTGTTTGCTGCTGGCAGCTTTTGGGGTTTCTCTGGGCTCGCTCTGCAGCAGACACAAAGCAGCAGCAGCAGCAGCAGCAGCAGCGGAGGACGATGGCTCGAAGCAGCAAACTCGCGAGGCAGCAAACAGCAGCAGCAGCAGCAGCAGCAGCAGCAGCAGCAGCGAACAAAAGGAAACAGCAGCTTTCCGCGTTGCAGCAGTGGGCGTCTGGCTAGCCAGTAAGCAGGCTTTAGGGTTTAGGGTTTAGGGTTTAGGGTTTAGGGTGTTTGGCATTGGGGGGATTTTATTGAACAGGTAGATAAGCCGTTTGCTGCGACAGGTGTCAGCAGCAGCAGCAACAGCAACAGCAGCAGGTGCTGCAGGAGCAGCAGCAGTAGCAGATGTAGCAGCAGCAGCAGCACAACGTTGGGCTCATGAGGGTGCCCCTGTTGCTGCTGCTGCTGCCATTTCTGCTGCTGCTGCTGCCGTTGCTGCTGCGGCTGCTTCTCAACATGATTTACTTTCGCTCGAGTGCCCGTTTTAATGGAGCAAATGTCTTTCATTTCGTTATTTTAATTAATTAATTTATATAATTAAATAATCAATTAATTATTTGTTTATTTGTATATTTTATTTATTTATTTTTTAGGCTGCGTGGGGGTGGCTTTGGCGTTTTTGCTCTACGCGGGCAGCAGCTGCATCTTGTCTTTCTTTTTGAGCATAAAGGGCGCAGCAGCAGCAGCAGCAGCAGCAGCGCCAGCAGCAGCAGCAGACCCGTTGTCGGCAGTTGCCGCCGCCGCAGCAGCAGCAGCAGCAGAGCAGCAGCAGCAGCAGCAGCAGACGCTGTCGCTTGCTGCTGAGTTCGTGCAGCTGCGGTGCTTTTCGCTGCCATTTTGTATTATCAGTTTGGCATTAAAAGGAGCTTTTGTTGCACTTGGGGATTTGTGGCCGCAGCTGCTTACAGTAGCAGCAGCAGCAGCAGCAGCTCCTGCGTTGTTTCTGTTTGCTTCCAGAGCCGCAGCAGCAGCTGCTGCTGCGGCAGCAGCGGCGTCAGCAGCAGAGGCGCAGCAGCAGCAGGAAGCAGCAACGCGCGCTTTCGTCAGAGCTGCTGCTGGCACTGTAGTTGCTGTTCAAGTTGCAGTGGCGCTGCTGCTGCTGCTGCGGCTGGGGCTGCTTGCTGCTGCTGCTGCTGCGCGCCGCGAGCGCAGCAGCACCCCTCCCCTCGCGCAGCAGCAACAGCAGCAGCTGCAGCAGCAGCAGCAGCAGCAGAAAGGGCTGCTGCTGCAGCAAATCCAAGCAACTCTGTCCCTTTATAGGCCTCCAACGTTGAAAGAAATTGCTGCTTTTGGTCCTTTTATGCTGCCGGTGATGACGCAGTGCTGCGTGAGGTGAGTTTTGGGGTGTACGTACACCTGAGCGCGCGCGCAGGTGGGTTTGCTGCTTGTTGAATTTTCGCAATTTCGACGCATTTTTGCATGCATTTGTTTGTTTTTTAAAGTTATTTATCATTTATTTGTTTATTTCCATTTTTATTTCCGTGTTTCTGTTCGTTTGCCGCCAGACTGGTGCTGTATTCCTCCATGACGAAGGCAGCTTCCCTCTGGGGCCCCAAGGGAATGGCGGCGCACCAGGCAAGAAGTGGAAAGGCGAAATAAATGAAGAATTAAATCAATTAAATGATTCTCGCACTTATTAAAAACAAAGATTAAAATAAACAAATCCATTTATTCCCTTTTACTTCTTCGTTTCCCCCCGCTTTCCCTCTCTACCGAAAAGCACGATTTTCCCGCAGTCCGTTTACGGTGTATGTACACTTCAGGTGTATGTACACTTCACGAGTGCGCATGAATGCCGCGTTTCTTTTGAAAGATTAAAACGCTTTTATCATTTTATTTTTTGCATTAAGTTTGCCGGGAAAGTGTGTCGATGAGGGTTTACTAAAAGGGGAAATGCTGCATTTAAAAGTTCGTTTCCAAATTTTCGCGTGAAAGAGCGAAAATGCGGCATTTTGGAGTTAAAAAAGCTGAATCTGTACTTCTTGTGATTTCCGATGAATTAAAAATCCAATGTGGTTTTAATTTGGGCCAAACGGCGGCGAAAAAGCCCTCAAGAGCAGCAGAAATGAATTAAAATGTTTTGATTTGAAGTTGAGACTTTGGTTTGCTTTGTGCAGCTGGTGTCCGGGGTGTACACCGTGGTGGGGATGCCCGCAGACACCCTTGCGCAAGTTGTAAACGCGTCGTTTTCGAAGCATTTTTCGGAGAAGTTGGAGGAAAAAAGAGAAGAAAAAAAAGAAAATGAGGAACTAAACACTATTCTCCCTTCAAGTCCTTCAAAAATCATCCAAAATGACGCAAAAATAATTCAAATCCGACAAAAACAAACTCGAAAAATCCTCTCCGTCGCCGCTGCAGCCGCAGCTGTATCGACAGCTGCGCAACTCGCCGTCTCCGCTTTTTGTAAATTCCGAAATTCAAAATTTAATTTAATTTAATTCAATTTATTAAATTAATCAATTTAATTATTTAATTGAATGAATTAATTATTTAATTGTTTTCACTCATTTAATCATATTATTGTAATTACTCAATTCGTTTAGTTTGCTAATTTAGTTGATTAATTGATGTAGTTATTGAAATTGGTTTAATTATTTAATCTAATTATTTAATTAATTCGACTGCAATTGAATTGTTCAGTTCAGTATTTAATTGATTTAATTATATAATTCAATTAATTGAGTCGTTCAATGTTGATTTAACTATTTGGTTGATTTGAGTATTTATTTCATATCTGAATCAATTAATTTAATTAATTTGATTAGTTTATTTATTTAATTCATTTGATTATTTAATATAAATCAAATTTAATTAATATAATTATTTAATTAATTCTAACTCAAGTTTTCAATCCGCAAATTAGAAATAATTAAATGCCAAATTTTGCTGCAATTAAATAATTCAAATTAATTCTCTAAATGTCACCAACTACAACTATTTAATTTCAATTCTTTAATTTTAATTATTTAATTTCAATCATTAAATTTTAATTATATAATTTCAATTATTCAGTTTTAATTATTTAATTTGGATTACTTGATTTCAGTTTTTCACTTGTGTAATTTTATTCATTTAATTAATTATTCAAAACCAAGTGCAGTTTTTAATTGCAATTATTTCCATCCATTTAATTGTTATTATTCGATTGGAATTATTTAATTATAATTATTTGAGTATATTTATTCAGTTATTATTATTTAATTATATTAATTTAATTGTATTTATTTGATTGTAATTATTTAATTGTAATTATTTAATTGTGATCAATAATTGAACTCTTTGAGTTTTAATTATTTAATTGCAGTTATTTAATTGTAATTTAATTAATTGTAATTATTTTAATGCAATTATCGAATTGCAGACATTTATTTGCATTTAATTAGTTGTAGTTCTAAATTTAATTATTTACTTCTAATTATTTAATTATATATTCTCTAAGTGCAGTTATTTGTGTGTAATTCATTAATTGCAATTCTCTGTATTGTTTAGTTGTAGTTATCGAAATAAGTTTAATTGTAATTCTTTAAATCAAATTATTTAATTGTAATTATTTAATTTAATTATTTGAATGTAATTATATAATTATAATCATTTGAATGGATTTATTTAAGTGTAATTTAACTAAAGCCATTCAATTGTAATTGCTTAGTGACAATTATCTAACTGTAATTATTTCTAGTTATTTAATTCTAATTGTTTGGTTGTAGTTATTTAATTATAATTATTTAATTCCAATTATTTACTTGTAATCATTTAATGTAATTATTTAATTGTAATTCTTTAATTGTAATTATTTAATTGTAATTATTTAATTGTAATTATTTAATTGTAATTATTTAATTGTAATTATTTAATTGTAATTATTTAATTGTAATTATTTAATTGTAATTACTAAATTACGATTTTAAATAATTAATTTCAACCCAAGGACAATCAATTGGCTGAAGCAAATTATCAAATTGATTTCCGCATTAAAAAAAATTAATTTGTTAAACTAAATACAGTAAAATTAAATTAATTAAAATAAGTTACTTAAAATAAATTGATTAAAATAAATTAATTAAAATAACTTAATTATATTCAAATATTTAGTTTCCAACTAAGTTGCTGTGGGGCCCCGCAGCAAAACAAATTAAATGGATTTGTTTCTTTTTAACTAACAATATTAAATGAACATTCCAGAAAATAAAAATATACTTTGCAAATGAATATAAATGTTTCCTTCTTTTTAATAAAAAATAGAAAAAAAACTAGAAAAGAAGTTTCAAAATAATAATTACTTGTTCATTAAAAAGGCACAACCTATTAATTAAACTCTAGAGGAAAAAATTCCAAGCAAACGAAATCAATGTGCGCTTTGTGCTGCTGCTGCTGCTGCTGCTGCTGCTGCTGCAGTGTCTTGGCGGCTGCGGGGCAGCGAGGGAGAGTTGGGAACTTTGGTTTTATTGAGCGGCACTTTTGCTGCTTTTCCTCTTCTCTTTGTTCCATTTGCTTCTGCCCTCGAGGGCCTTTTGCTGCTGCAGCTGCGGGGCCGCCGCGTTGCTGCTGCTTACCTCGCGACCCTCCCGCCCCCGCTGCTGCTGCTGCTGCTGCTCTCCCGCGGAAGCAGCAGCAGCAGCAGCAGCACCGGCGCAGCAGCAGCAGCAGCAGCGGCGCTGCAACAAAGGCCCCACAGCGTCTGCCTACTCTGGCTGCTGCCCCTCGCCTACAACTTCATCAAAATTGCAGTTATGAACTTCCGCGCTAAACCCTAAACCCTAAACCCTAAACCCTCGCGGCCTAAACCCTCGCGGCCTAAACCCTAGCGGCCTCCGTTTTTGCTCTGTTTGCTTTTTTGGTTCATTTCAAATCTTTTTCTTCCCTTCCGATTCTTTTTGAAACTCCGATAAAGTTTCTCAACAATTCCTTGCTGCTCCCCATTTGCTGCTGCTGCTGCTGCTGCTGCTGCAAAGGAGAGAATTAGGAAGCAAGCAACTTGAATTGCAAAGGGATTTAATTGTGTTGCAAAGAAACGAATTCGAATTTAAAAAGAAATAATTTGGAGCTAATTCGAACAAGTGGCAAATTGAATTGGAAATAAATAAATTAGAATAAATAAATAAATTGAATTGGAAACAAATAAATTGGAATGAAGGAATAAATTGAAGTGGAAATAAATAAATTAGAATAAAGAAATAAATTGAACTGGGAATAGATAAATTAGAATAAAGGAATAAATTAAAATGGAACTAAACTAATAAAACAAAAGAAAATTGAATTGGAAATAAATAAATTAGAATAAAGGAATACGTTGAATTGGAAATAAATAAATTAAAATAAAGAAATAAATTGAATTGGAACTAAACTAGTAAATACAAAAGAAGTAAATTGAATTGGAAATAAATAAATTAGAATATAGGAATGAGTTGAATTGGAACTAAACTAATTAGAATAAAATAATAGAACTGGAAGTAAACAAATTGCAATAAATAAATTGAATTGGAAATGAACAAATTGGAATAAAGAAATAAAGTGAATTGCAAAAAACGAATAAGAATTAATCGGAATGGAGTTTTCCTCTTTGTCGCTTTCGGGACGAACTTCGAACAGAAGAGCAACAAAAGGGGAAAAGAAAAACAAAACAAATCGAATTGCGAACTAGAGTTTGATTTAATTCATTTAAATTCATTTAAATTCATTTAAATTCATTTAAATTGCAAATCAAACAAACAGAAAAGAAAGTGAACAGCAGCTCCGCGAAAAGCTGCGGAAGCAGTCGAAGAGTTCAGGTGTACGTACACCCCAGGTCCTGCAGATGCTTCGCAACTTGATTTGCATGCAAATGCAAAGCGCAGTAAAAGCAGCTAAATATATTTATAAGGAGTTGTTAATTATTGAATTAATTTGAATTTCATTTATTATTGGTTAATTTGAACCTTAGAAGATCTCAATTGCAAACAATGAAAAGAAATGCATTTCCCTCATGAACGAACTTGTGCAACTTCTGCATTGTGAAAAGTGCAATTGTCGAAAAGTCCTTTTTGTTTCTTCTTCATTTTTAATTTCCTTTTCCTTTTTCTTTTCTTTTTGATTTCCTTTTCCTTCTCAATTTCCCTTTTCTTTTTAAATTTACTTTCCATTTTTAGTTCTCTTTTCCTTTTTTAATCCTCTTTTTTAACTCTAGTTTTCTCTTTAATTTTCTTTTCATTTCCGATTTGTTCCCTCTTTTCCGTTTACTTCCGATACTTCACCTTTTGCTCCTCCTGGCATTGTGGACAAGACCTGAGAGATATAAAAATTATCTCTTTTGATTTAAGACTTTTTGAAATTTATTTTAAATAAATTATTTCAACTTTTCACTTCCGCTTTTTTCTTGTCCGCGTCTCCTCCCCTTCCGAGTCCTCGTCGGCGCGGCGCTTCCTGTCCTCTGCAGCAGCAGCAGCAGCAGCAGCAGCAAAAGGGAACTTCAAAGATGAAATGAAAAGAAGAAAAGAGCAGGTGGAGAAAGCGGACTAATGAAAGCCCACGAGGCATACAAAACAAAATAAAAACAAAAAATAAAAAACAAAAAGATGAAAAGAAACAGGAGTGAAATTAATAAAAGAGATGGTCACAGCACTCCAGAGCTGCTGCTGTTTGTAACTCAATTTAAAAATAATAAAAAGCTGCAAATAAAAAAAAAACAAATAATAGGCATACTAATAATAATAATAAACAGTAACAAAAAAGTAAATATGACTAAATCAACACGGACACAAAGACCTCGCCGCAGACTGCGCTGCCCGTCACCAACTCAGCAGCAGCAAGACACAGCAGCAGCAGCAGCAGCAGCAGGCACAGCAGCAGCAGAAACAGACACAGCAACAACCCCACTGGACAAATCTGCGAATGCTGGCTGCAACTGCTACAAAAGAAGCAGCAACAAAACCAAGAACAAAAAAAAATAACACAATGAAAAGAACTAAACTTAGAACGGCAGGAACAAAAACAGCAACAATGGCGCAAGTGACAATAACAATAACAAGATGAACAAGAAGGAGGAAACTGGCAGAAATAACAGCAGCAGCAGCAGCAGCAGCGCTGCGGGCTGGGGCAAAGCCAGAAGTCCCGAAGTACCTTTTTTGGCTCTTTCTTCGAGTTCGTCCCAGCTGAGTCCTTCTTCTTCGTCTTCGTCTGTTGCTGCTGCTTCTTCGTCGTCGCTTTCGTCAGCTAAAGAAGAATCATCTGAAGAAAAGTCGCTGTCGCTGCCGCCGCCGCTGCTTTCGCCCGAGTCCGAGCCCTCGGCGTTGAACTCCTTGTCGTCGTCCTGCGTTTCGAAAGAACAAATTTGCGAAAAAATTCGGTAAAAAGGAACTAAAAAGATCCAGCAAGTTATTAAATCCCAAATTTCCAGAAAACTGCAAGAAAAAAGAGAAAAATCGGCCCCAGAAGAACTAAAAAAAGCTGCAAAATAAAAGAATTCAGAAAAGTGGAAACTCGCGAGTTCAAGTGCAAACAACTCGGGTGTACGTACACTCGAAGACTGCTCCGCGTATTCCTCGTCGTCGTCGTCTTCGCTTTCCTCTCCCTCTTCTTCGCTGCCGTTTACGTCGCCTGAAAAGCCGCAAAGTCGAAATAAATAAAACAAATAACTCAAAAGAACAAACAATTATTTATTTCTGTCTTCGGGGAACGAAAACCCGCAAGGAAAACAAATAGTTGTGCATGCGCCAGCCATTCAAGTTCAAATTCATTTCAAGTTGCGGAAAGAGCCCAGGCTGTCCTTTGAACTCCTATTCAATTGTTATAATTGCAAATATAATTAAAAATGTAAATACATTTTATTTTAATTCTATTTCGAAAACTTTCTCACCCAGGAACATGTCGAATCCACCGTCTTCTACGAAACCGCGAGGGTCGTCGCGAATTTCTTTCAGAATGGCCGCCCAGTTCAAGTTTTGTTTTCCTTCATACCAGACGATTTCGAGTTCGTTGAGCCATCTCTGAATTAAAAATAAAAATAAAATAAAATAGAACAAATTAACACTCATTGGACACAACTTAAATGCAAGTTGGTCAAAATGCGAGAAAAAACAGATACAAAGATGCTGCTTGCAAGGGAAAACAGCGAAAAAGCGCAGCAGCAAAACACATTTCAGAAAACCCCCTTTGAATTATTTCATTTTTATTTTTTCTGACCTTTAAATTGTCGAGATATTCAATTGGGATCAAGTCGATGCGTTTCACCGGCTTGTTATAATCCTGAAGGCAGAACGAGCCGCAGCAGCAGCAGCGCAACAGCAGCAGCAGACCAGCAGCAGCTTTTTCTGCGCTGTTTTCGCGAAACTCGGGGCAATCAAAAGAAGCAAAGAGACGCGGCCCCGGGCAGCAGCAAAAGCCTGCAAAGCAAGCAGCAGCAGCAGCAACTTGCCTGGAAAACGAAAACCATGTCGAAGTTGCGCAGGCCGTGCGCCACCCGCTCGAAAGATACTATTTCTATGTCTTCCAGAGGCAACACGAAGGGCGGCCACTCCACCAAATGGACCAGACAGTTTGCAGTTGGGAGAATTTCCACGTTGGACTTCAGCGGCACTCCCGAGAAGCGCAGCTCCCTGCGCAGCGCCGCTGGACCAGTGGACCACTGCTTCGCAGCTGCTGCTGCACCACTGGACCACTGGACCACTCACGCGGGTCTTTCGCTTTTATTTGATTACTTTTACGCTTTTATAAAACACTTTTTACTCATTCAAATATTCCCCCTCAAGGTCGTGGGGCAGGGGAGCAGCAGGTCAAGTCCGCTCGAGGCGGAAGACACTGCTGGCGACACTGAGGACAGAACTTCTGTAACTTCTCATTGCGAAAATTAAGAATAATAATAACAACAATTATCATTATTATTACTACTTTTAATATTGTTGTTATAAATAGTGTAATTTGCGCAAATAAATAAATGTGAAATGGACCAAAAGGCTACACTGTGCCTCTTCTGGGGAGCGGCAAAACAAGAAATCGAATTTCAACACAAGTGAGCGACGGAAGAACACAAATATAAAAGATATTTATTTTAAGTTTTTAATAATTTAAAATTAATAAATGATTTGAATAATTTGAACAGAGTGGGGAGTGGGGCGGGGGGTGGTCTTTCAGTTCTGCAGATCACCTGTAAGGCAAGTCGAATTCAACTTTCGAGACTTCTTCGACTTGCTGAACAAATCTTTTGAACTCGCCATTTAATTTCTTCTTCATTTCCCTCTCTCGCATTTCGTCCAAAGTCTCATCTGGGTCATGGTAAGACCGGCTGAAAGAAGGAAAGTTGCAAAGTTGCAAACATGAACATTTCAACTTCGAAAGCAACCAAGTGGAAGCGCGTTGCAAATCTCGGGCGCGCGCCCACCAAATGGATCATCGGATGCAGAAAAGAATTTGAAATATGAAATTAAAATTAAAAATAAATATATTTCGCGTTTAGAAGAATTCAAATGCAAAAGAAACTCGAACTGGATCGCCAACTCACTTCCTCCGGTTGTCCAAGTCGTCTGTTTGCGTGCCCGCCTCCGTGTAGAACTGAACGTCTTGAGTTCTCTTCTTTCCCACCAGAATAGGGGCCTAAAAGCACGAATTACGAAAAAAGAAACAAAAAAGAATAAAATGCGAAGAGACGTATACAAACATGGGTGCAGAACTCGACAAAAACGCCTTCTGAACTCAAAAGCCTCACCTTCAAGTGGAAATGAACCAACACAATCAACTCGCGCTCGCAAGGCTGCAGAATTGCATGTTTGATATTTGAATAAGTGATATCGACAACATCCATTTGGCCGCGGGTGTTCACGGTGAACCTGAGAATGGAGAAAACGGCGAAGTTCAAGTTTGAAGACCAGCAGCAGCTGCCCGATCTCCCCTTAAACTGCTCAAGAAGGCCAAAAATAACTGTCAATATCATTATTATTGTTAGTATTATTGTTATTATTGCTGTTATTGAACGATATTGTTCAGAAGATCCGACAAAAAACGACAGTGACACCCCAAACACAGTGACACTGCAGCTTGCCTCAAGCCGTTGGTGTGCGCCTCCAGCGCGCCGATCAGCTTCCGCATTCCCGTTGAGATGTTTGGCCTGATCATCAGATCTTTCAAAAGAATTCTTCTTCCAGATCTGTTCAAAACTAACTTTTCTTGAGCTGCCAGCTCTCCCGGGTACTGCAGGTCTTCTGCAGCTTTCTGCTTCACTCGCTTCAGCTGCTCCTTGATGGTCCTGTATATATCTGCAGCAGCCGGAAACCAGCAAGTGGCAAACTGCAAAAGTCAAACAAGTTCAAAAACTCGAAAAGAAACCAAACGAAGAAATACAATTCGCAAGGAAGCAACAAAAGTCTGCAGTTCCCCTCCGCAGCAGCAGCAGCAGCAGCAGGAAGCTGGACTTGGTGTCTGCCGACTTTGGAGGTGGCGGCTGTCTTCGCTCTTGAACATGAGCTCTTTGACGAAGAGTTGGTTTTTGCCCGCAATGTCCGGCAAAGGGTTTTCTTCTCCCTTTTGCGTCAGAGTTTGAGACCCTGGGACTTGGAAATTAATTCGCAAAATCGAAAAGCGACTCGGCTTGCTGCCTGCTGCTGCGCGCGCAGCCCCCAAGTTCGCCTCCGACTCGCTGCAGGTCACGTTCTTCACCGTCGACAAATGAAATGGCAAGTGGTGGCCGGGAAACGGCACGAAGAGGCACTCCGACTTCATGTCCACGTACAGCTGCGCAGTGTACAGACACCGCAGCGCTCCACGCGCAACACGTGCGCCGACGGCCTGCCCCAGCAGCTCCACGCAGCAGCAGCAGCAGCAAACCCGCGAAGCAAAGAGGCACCACAGCAGCAACATGCACAAAGCAGCAGCAGCCACAGGTCCAGAAAGCGACAGCAGCAGCAAATGCCGCCGACTGCAGCAACAGCAGCGGCACCGAAAGCTGCTGTTGCTGCTGCCTGGCATTACGGTCGCGAAATTTTGCGAGCCCCAGTAGGAGCGGCAGTTGGCTTTGTGAGGCGGAGTTGGGACAAAGGAAACACGAAGGATTTAAAAAAAGAAATTAAAAGCAAAAATAAGAGAAAAAGGAATACAAATAAGCATGCAGTCAACTCCTCCCCCAGTTGTCCCGTGCCCAATTCAGACTGTCTGCAGCAGCAAGCTGTGCTAGGCCTCCCGCAAGTCTTTAATAAAACATTAAAATGACAAGAAAAAGAAAAAAAAGAAATTAAAAATACTCTGCAGATTTGCACCAACTGGACATACACCCGAAGGGGGCAGCCGCCTCCATGCGGAAAGCGCGCATTCGAAAGTTCCCACTTGCAAATGCAAGAACTTGAACCCCCCATCCGCACGAATCATCCCTAATTACCATCATTATCAATAATAATAATATTAATTCTTAATTATCACTATTATTATTTGAATTCCAGAGCCAAACCGCGAAAACGGCAGCAGCAGCCTCCGCCGCCGCCGCAGCGAGTGACCCTGCAGCAGCAACTCCGCAGCCGAATCTGCTGCGATCTGCTGCGATCTGCTGCGATCTGCTGCTGCAGAGCTCACTTTGCTGGGCCGGAGGTCTTTGGGGAACTCCTCAGGAGAGCTGAAGGCCCGTAAGTCTTGCATTTTCTTTTGGCGTTTTTGCTGCTGCTCGTCGCCGCCGTCTTCCGCCTCTTCGCGTGCGAAGCGCTGCGCGCAGCACCCCCGCGTCTGCTGCTAAGCCCTTTTAGTGCATCATTTTCATTTAATTTCAACTCAGACCCAACTTAAACTCCAATCAAATCCAAACATTCCAAACTTCCAGCCGCCGGCGCCCCGCGCGGCTGGCACAGCAGCAGCAGCGGCAGCAGAAGCGTAGCAGCAGCGGAAAAAGCGCAGCAGCAGCGGGGAAACGCGCAGCAGCAGCGGAAAAGGCGCAGCAGCAGCGGGGAAACGCGCAGCAGCAGCGGGGAAACGCGCAGCAGCAGCGGAAAAGGCGCAGCAGCAGCGGGAAAACGCGCAGCAGCAGCAGGAAAAGGCGCAGCAGCAGCGGCTCCTCGAACTTGAAAGCTTCCTCTCAAGAGGCGCAGCAAAAGCTGCGGAAGCTCCTGAACTTGCGGACCTGCTGCAGCGCGGAAAGCTTCTTTTTGCGGAGTTCGCGCTGCCTGTTGTCTCTCTCTTCTGCTGCTTCCATGTGAGCAGCAGATCCATTATCTCTTCTCCGGAGTCTATCTTTCAAAATGAGGCTTTCTGCGTTTTTCAAGACGCTGGCGGAGATGGTGCCGCTGGAGGGCTTTTCGGGCTTCTCGGAGTTCTTTTCTTTTTCCTTTTTTTCCTTTTCTTTTTCTTTTTCTTTTCCTTTTTCCCGCGACTTCTTCTTCTCCACCAACTCCCCTTCTTCCCGCTTCTCCCGCCGCCCTTCTTTGCTGCTCTTCGCCTTCAAAGGACTTTCTGCTGCTTCTTCTTCCCCCTCGTCCAGCTCGTAGTTCACGTACGCCAACTGCGAAGAAAGGCCCTCCGTCAGCACTGCAGCAGCAGCAGCAGCAGCAGCAGCAGCGGCAGCAGCAGCCGGTGAGCCGGCCGCGGCCGGAGCTTTCGAAAAAGTTGAACTTCAATTTCACGCCAAGAAGCAGCAAAACAAACCGAATAGGAAGCAGCTCGAAAACACCACCACCATCTGCAGCAGCACCACTAGCAGCAGCAACATTAGCAGCAGCAACACTAGCAGCAGCAACATTTGCAGCAGCAGCAGCCACACTACCATCAGCAGCACCGCCACCATCATCATCAACACCGCCAACAGCAGCATCACCAGCAGCAGCATCAGCAGAAGCAGCAGCAGCAGCAGCAGCAGCAGCATCAGCAGAAGCAGCATCAGCAGAAGCAGCAGCAGCAGCAGCAGCAGCAGCAGCAGCAGCAGCAGCAGCAGCAGCAGCAGCAGCAGCAGCAGCAGCAGCAGCAGCAGCAGCAGCAGCAGAAGCAGCAGCAGCAGCAGCAGACCTTGAGTGGTGCCGTCTGGACGGAGCCAGACAGTGTCTGCGAGCCAAACTGCATATTCTTTTCCTTCGGCAGTTTTTAAGTCGCTGAAGGCCACGCTGACCAAAAAGGCCATTTCAGGCTCCACGAAGACTCTGTGCAAATGCAGCAGTTCAATTCAATTATTAAATTTCAATTAATTGAATTAAGTTCAATAATTGCATTAATTTCAATTCATTAAACCTACTTCAATTGGTTTCATTAATTTCAATTTGTTGAGTTAATTTCAATTCGTTTAATTAATTTCAATTTATTAAATTCATTCAAGTAATAAGTGTGAATCTGTTCAATTTGTTTTAATGTTCAATTTGTTTTGATTTTCAATTTGTTTTCCCATTCACTTAATTTGAATTAATTGAGTTCATTTCAATTAATTAAATTCATTTCAATTAATAAAATTCATTTCAATTCATTTAACTTTTCAGGGAAATCCCCTTTGCCATTTAAGGCTGGAGAAAGCGGAAAAGGAAATCGAAAAAGATATAAATAAATTGAAAAGTCTTTAAATGCAATTTCAAATTAGAAAAAAGAAAAACAAAGGGAAATCTATTTGCCAGTCAAATTGCCTTCTCTGGACCCACAGAGAGAAAAAAAAGGAGAAAAAGAAAAAAGAAAAGAGAAAAAGGAAAAGGAAAGGGAAAAAGAAAAGAAAGAAGAAAAAGTTCAAAAGTTGTTTCTCATGAAAAAGACGGAAAAAGAAAATTTTGAATTCTGAATTTTGCGAAAATTGAAAAAGCGAATTGCTGCGGCTGTCCCCAAACTGAATCGAACAATCAATTTGAATTGAAGTGGAGAAATAACCGAATTGAATGAATACTTTGAATTAATTAAAACACGAAAACAAAATAAAACCAACTTGTCATTCTTTTGATTGAAGACCAAACGGGGGTCTCGGTAATGCGCGCCGATGGTGTGTCCGACGTTCTTCGCGAGGTGTCTAGACAGCTCAGGTTTCCGCGAAGAAATGAAAGAAACTGCTTTTTCGTGAATTGCAGAAAAGGAAACTCCAACTTTTAAACTTCCAATTAAATGCTGCTGCAGCTCCAGCGCCAACTCGTAAGTCTCCTTCTGCTCCTGTACGTACACCCCAAACCCCAACAGCCCACGCCCAAACTCACCACAACCAAAAACTATTGCTGCTGCTGCAGTTGCTGCTGCAGTTGCTGCTGCAGTTGCTGCTACTGCTGCAGTTGCTGCTGCTGCTGCAGTTGCTGCTGCTGGTGCATGTGCTGCTGCTGCTGCTGCTGCAGCTGTGTCGCGGGCGTGGAGTTCGGAAGCATGAGAAGAGTTTTGCTGCAGCTTTACCTTTTTGCCATTAAGAATGAAAGTGCGGCAAAGCGCTGCGCAGAAGTCTTTATATTTGCATCCCAAAGAAATAATAATTGTGCCTTCAGACTGAGACAAAGCTTCTCCAGAAGGCAACGCAGAAGCTCTTAAATCGAAGTGACGGCCACTCTGCACGTTTTTAAACAGCACTTCCACCTCGCTCGGGTCCAGCTGTACGTACACCCCACCGCAGCAGCAGCAGCAGCAGCACGCAGCGAAATGAGCAGCAGGAGAGCGGCAGCTATTTGTGGCGGCAGCAGCAGCAGAGAATAGTTGCGCGAACAGCAGCAGAAAAGCAGCAAGCAGCGAAACGAGCAGCAGCAGATGGACAGCAACTAATGGCATGCGCAGCAGCAAAAAGACACCAATTAGTGGCACGAGCAGCAGCATAAGGGGAGCAATTCGTGGCGCGAGCAGCAGCAAAAGGGCAGCAGTAAGCAACTGTTGGCAGCAGCAAAGGCGGAGGCGTTTGCTGCTGACGTTGCACTTCTCCTTGAGCCGCTGCAGCTGCTTCTGGTCCTTCAGCAGCAGCTCGGCTCTGTCGCAAATGCTCTTGTGGGACTCGTTTTGGCCATTATCCAAAACGAATTCAACTCGAGAGACCAGCTGGTGCTTCACCATGGCCACTGACACGCGGCTGGCGTCCGCGACGAGTGCCTGAGTCGGAAGTGCGGAAACGGGAAGTTCAAAACGGAATTCGACGCGGAGTTGAACGCGCAAAACGCAACAAGTGAAAGGGAAACTCCCAAACTCAGAAGTGCAGCTGAAAACGCGAAAAAATCCGACCCAGTAAGGCCTTTTTTCGTCCATTTCCTGCCGAGATCTGAACGGGCGGAAAACTTGAACGCGGGTTTCAGGTGTACGTACACCCCAGCGCGCCTCACCATTTCCGAAGGCGTCAGGGTCGCCGTAAGCGGGGAAAGCGGCACTTCAATGTTTTCTTCCTTGTTTGCAAAAGACTTAATCCACGGAATTACGTCTGCAGCCAAAGTTCCGGGAGTTGTCAGCACTGAGCCTCCCAGAAAGACCGCCAGGCGCACGCCGCTCTGCAGAGGTGCGCATACACCTGAAACCGCGCCTCCGATCTCCGCGGAACGCCCGGGTTTCCGCGAAGCATTTCATTTAAATGAACATGAAGATGCACTAAAACTCAAAGTTAGTCCCTTTTGAAGCCTCACTCACGTCGGAGTCCACTCCCGCCGCGCGGCGCAGCGCCGCAGCCATCTGCTGCAGACTCTTCGCATTTCCCTCCTGCGAGTCTTTCAAGAAAATCTGAAGACCCCCAATCGCCTCCAGCTGCCGCAGGTGTTCAGCTTTTTTCGCCGAAGTCAAAACCAGCCACTCTTTCGTCGTCCGAACAAAAATGAAGAGAGTTTCCAAAAACTGAAAACCCGTCAGCCACGACCTGTACAGACACCCCACACGCCCTCAATAAACCCTCACGCCCGGCAGCTCCTCTGCACGAACAGCCGCCACAACCAGCAGCAGCAGCAGCAGCAGCAGCAGCTGCTGCTGCTGCTGCTGCTGGTGGTGGCGGCTGTTCGTGCAGAGGAGCTGCCGGGCGTGAGGGTTTATTGAGGGCGTGTGGGGTGGCTGTACAGGTCGTGGCTGACGGGGTTGCAGTTTTTGGAAACTCTCTTCATTTTTGTTCGGACGACGAAAGAGTGGCTGGTTTTGACTTCGGCGAAAAAAGCTGAACACCTGCGGCAGCTGGAGGCGATTGGGGGTCTTCAGATTTTCTTGAAAGACTCGCAGGAGGGAAATGCGAAGAGGCAGCAGCAGATGGCTGCGGCGCTGC